TCAGGATTTCAGGGGTTTAGTAATTTAGGGGTTCAGGTCGCGAAGCCGCGACTGCCCTAAACCCTAAACCTCCAAACCCTAACCCCTAAACCCCTAAAGCCCCTAAACCCCTAAACCCCTAAACCCCTCCCCTAAACCCTAAACCCTCAAACCCTAAACCCTCAACCCTCAAACTGACCCAAAAAGGACCCCCTTACCGGCCGGGCGGCCCGGAGCAAACCGTTCCAGAGCTCCCGACCCTCGATGAAGCGATGATACCTTCGAGGCTTATAAGGGGTTAGGGTGTAAGGCGTAGGGTTTAGGGGTTTTGGGTTTAGGGTTTATAAAGTGTAGGGTTTAGGGTGTAGGGTTTAGGGTTTAGGGGTTTAGGGTTTAGAGTGTAGGGTTTTGGGTGTAGGGTTTAGAGTGTAGGGTTTAGGGTTTAGGGGTTAGGGTGTAGGGTTTAGGGTTTAGGGGTTTAGGGTCTAGGGTTTAGAGTGTAGGGTTTTGGGTGTAGGGTTTAGGGTGTAGGGTTTAGGGGTTAGGGTGTAGGGTTTAGGGTTTAGGGGTTAGGGTTTAGGGTTTATAAGGGGCCTTGCCAGGACAGTCATGCTGCACGGCTGAAGCCCGGAAGCCTTCAACCCTGAAACTGTAAACCCTAAGCCCTATCACACTTTTGCGCCTGCTGTAGCGAAGTTCTCCGAACGTTGGCCGATAGGCCGAAGTGAAACTGAGCCTGCGCAGAACGGCCGAAAAGCGGGGAGCAGCAAGAGCCTAAACCGAAAGCCTAAGAGGAGAGGGCCTAAACCACAACAACCTTAGATTAGGGTTCGGGCCAGGCGGAGGGCTCCAGCAAAAGGTCGTAAAGCAGGCCTTTCCACTCCAAAGATCCTTGGCGAAAGCCACCGTCCTGAATCAAGGACAAAAGGAGGGCTCGGGAATACTTGCTAAGAAGACGCACGCGTGCGCGAGCCCACTGCGGAAGACGTTGGAGTAATAACTGCGCTGCAACCTCCTGCAGATAAAACTCCACCGTCTTCGTCTTGCTCCACCTGCCCCTCCATGCCACAAGGGGCAGGTCCTCCGTCTCCAGGTAAAGGAAAGTTGCGCCTGAACCGCGCAAAACGCCAGGCGTCGCACCTTTATCAGTCAACCTGTGAGGTACACCCAAACGCTCCATGACTTTATTCCATTGCCGCCTGTAGGTGTGCATCGACCCGCGAAAGAGCCTTGAAGACAAAGGCAGGTCGAGGTACAGCGACGCAAGCAAGGAAAGGACCAAGGGGTCTTCAAGACGCGAGTGTTGCCGACGGGCGAAGCGCTGTGTTTTGGGATTTCGAATGTGCACGTACATGATAGGGTCCGGAGACAAGGCGTCTTCTGGGAAGACAAGGTCCTGGCGAGTAAGCCAAATCATCTCGGCCGGGTGCAACATGCACAAAAAACCCACTAAAGTCAAGGCTGCCCAATCGTACCAACCCCAACAGATAGCCAAAGCAGCGGCGGCCTGTACGATGGGTTGGGAGATTACAGGACGGCACTCACCAGGCTCGGCAAGCTGCCACTTTCGGTCCACCTGCCAGGCGGAGGAAAGCCTGGAACGAAAATCAGGATGTGAATCCTGAACTGCAGTCAGGGCGTAAACCAGAAGGTAGCGAGGCTGCCCAGAAGAGTACAAGTGAAGACCAAAGGCGCGAAGCGCAAGAGAGGCAGACTCAGCTGAGCCCAAGACCGCGCCAAGGGGAAGACTGAAGGTGCTCATCAACCAGGAGGCGAAGGCACGCATAGCTTTGTCCATCTTGTGTCGAAGGTGCAAAGCCACCCTCCATGTCCAAGGCTCCACGCGGGCCGCCGTCGTGAAAAGGTCCAGGGTTCCGCTCAACGTCGCCTGCCAACAGCAGAAGCAGGCGCAGCCAACGGCCCAGCAGGCGGGGAACAGACGCCGAGGCGCACACAAGGTCAAAAGGACGAGTGTCGCCACGAACGAGAGCCTGAAGCCACGAAGGCCACGCCTTGGTGGCGGGGGTCGGAGGGCGACCGCGAGAGGGCCCATCGCTGCGGTTCTGGGCCGAGTAAACGTGAAGGCCGCCAGGGTAAAGACCACAGCCCAAAACGTAAGGCACAGCAGAGCGCAGCACGTGACACAGCGCAGGGCTCGCAGAACGACCTTTCGCGGCTGAACCCAAAAGCACCGGCTATCGATGAGGCCCACCAGTCTGGAGTTCGGATGCCTCTTAGCGCACCACTTTAGCCAAGTCTTGTAGGCTCTGGCTTCAAGTACGTTTATGTGACCGGGGGCCCCAAACTTGTAGCGCACGACTTCACCGAAATCCAAGCAGTCAGCAAGCTCACCGATCCACTCGGGGTCGTCATGGAACGGCCTCGCAACGAACGGGCAAGCTTCACCATCTAAGGGGAGGGGACTAAACCCTAGAAGCCCTAAGTGAAGGAGGGTTCGGAGGCTCGCAGAGCAGGGTGTTGGCACAACAACTCCGGTTGAGGCAAGGGAACTTCCCGAAGCGAAGCGGCTAGCCAACGGCAAAGGACACAGCTGGCAGAAGCCGGGCACAGACTCCCCGACGCAAGGCACACGCCCAAAGACGGACTCCACACAGGGGTGGCACCGAGAGGCAAAGTCACACGCCGAAGCCGCAGAAAACCGACCAGCCTCGACAAAGTGAGCGGACTCGCAAGAACACTGGCCCACGCAGCCGCCAAGCTTAAGCACCCAGGGCTTGTTGTGAAGGAAGACGGTAGACGTCCGGCAGGGAGAACCGAAGGCGCAAAAGCAAAGCTCAGTGACAACGCCGCCCAGGCAACAAGGGCGCGGAAGCAGTGCATCCGAAGCAGGGTGCAAGCAGAAGGAAGAGCCAAGCTGACGAACGCACCAGCCGAGGCGGCGAGGCACAGAAGAAAACACAGGCGGCGAACAAGTGAAGGCGCAGACTCCGCAACAGACAGCGGCGGACAAGCGTGCCAGTCGTGAACGCGACCACACGAGGCAAGCGCAGCAAGGGTGTGGAAGACCCCGTCGTCACCCAGGTCAAAGGTCAAACAACGAAGGCTGGGCTCAGAGACGGCGTAGTCAAACAAACCCGCACGACAGTGCGCAGAAGCCCAGTTGCTGTCACCACCAAAGAGGCACAGGAAGTACACCAAACCGTCGCAGGGACGACGCAGCGGCAAAGGCTCCGGAGTGAACGGAGACGAAGAAGCGGAAGACAGGCCTTCGACAAAGAAAGCGCCCGGGTCCTCGCTCAAGCCCAAGTCAGTGAGGAGCGCCGAAGCAGGTTCCAGAAGCTTAGTGTAGAAGCCCTTTTGCTCGGTGTGGCGCCAAAGCTCACGCAACACAGACTCAGGGAGCGCCGCGCGGCAAAGGCCCGCGCCCGAAGGAGACGCGTCCATAGCGTAAAGGAAACCAGGGTACGTAGCGCGCAAATCGGCTTGCAGCAGCGGGCCGACAGCGCACAAGCAGAACAGCTCGTTAAACGAGTCGCGGTGTAAAGGCATGATGCGGGTCGCGGGCGTACGCCTTGCATCCATAAAAACCTGCTGGAGGATTGCGAAACCAGCCCTTCGAAACAAGAGCACGTGGACCCATAATCCAAGAAGTACCGACGAAAGTAAGGCAGGTGAACAAACGCCAGCTCTCGCGATCATTGCCGTCACACGCATCAGCACACCAGTTCTGTGGCGGGGTGCTGAAACGATGCCTGTTAAGCCGTCAACATCGGCGCCGAGGAAGACGCCTGTCGTCACGTTCCGCCGTTTTTTACCCTGGTGGGGGACCAGCCCAACTGTAGGATAAGCCGCATCGGCTCCGGAAAATATCGATGTATCTCGCAATGGTAGCTTGCGCTGAAGTTGCGACCTCGAGCAAACCTGAGCAGTCATATGATCATCTATGGAAAGGAATTCAGCGCAGGGGCCCCTAGGGAAAGCCCGCCGATAGGCGCAGAACTCAGATGGCCGCATGCAGTTTCCCAAGCTTGCCAGGACATTGAAATGAGACTGTTGAGCATACTCAACGGCCCCACAGTCGCCCATGGCAAGGGCGTTGAGCGCCAAGTAGCACGGCTCATTATGAACACGAGGATTGAACACACTGAAATTCCGAAGTTCCGAAGGCTGGAAAACAATCCCCAAACAGTTTCTCTTTGCACGGCGAAGGGGAACTACGAAAGTGTAATACATCTCACTTAGGTCGTCGCAGCAAAACCTGAGGAAATGATCACATGTGGGAAGTGTCGCCTGGGCCAGAAGACAGCCTGGAGCCAACAATTTTGTATAGCAGCTTAACTTCCTGGACCTAGCATTTGCAACACTGGGGTTTAAAATAAACCTATCGAAGTTCTCATCTTTCGGCACACCGAAGCATCCTACGGTCTCCAAGGGATCAATCTCGGAACAACGGAAAATCCGCAGCGCCTGGAACTGGTCCCATTTGGCGGCCAGTTTGAGCAACTGAGCCCGGGTGGCATGCACCTTCGCACGAGGCAAACGCGGCCAGGCTGCAGCAGGAAGCTTCACGGTTTCGGGATCAATGTAAGCCGACCTAACTTGAGGGTCCACCAAAAAGGGCACAGGATTAAAGCTAGGGGGCAGCGTCCACTTTATCCGATCAGCCTGGATAGGCTTGCACGTGAGGCTGGAACCAACCGAATCATAACCCAAATCCTCAGAAGCCCCAGGCACGGCGGCGGTCGTGGCTGCCGAGGCAGCCTGAGCAGGTTTAGCAGCAGAGGGTTCCGGGTGCCCGCGGGATCGGTTGTTATAAGGGCACCAATCCGACTCGAATGCAGAAACAAATTCAGAGAGCAGGCGGTCCACATCACAAGCACACGACGCATCGGCCTGTGATAGTTCCGAGGCCCTGCTAAAAAGCGAAGCAAATTTTTCGCCCGAGCGACCAAGAGTGGATATGCTGAAGGGCCCGGCCCGAAGGAAATGCAGGCTGTGGCGCTCCAAAGTTTCAAGAACACTGTGCTGGTCGGAAGTGAAGACGGCACCGCGAGTGCGAGCATGCGTGGGGGCAGTGCTTGGGCAACCTAGGGCAAGCCAATTGAGGCAACCAACTTGAACCCGAACTAACTCCCGAGCTACCCTAAACACCCTGGCTCTGCGGCGCCGTCGAGGGCTGGGATTGCATGATGCACCGGCCGTCCAACGCGCTGTGGGCAACGGGACAGGCCAAACATCGCCTGGGCGTACGCCAGGCTGAACTGTGCAGGCGGGAGCCCTAAGAGAATCACGAAGGAATGAACCCAAGCAACATCTAGAGCCCCAGAGGTAACCTAAAAAACTAGAGACCCAGCTAACGAAGCAGGCGTCACTGTGTGGGAGCGCTTCGGGTGCAGGGGAGGCAGTGCAAGGAGGGGAATGTAAAACATCACCGTTCTGCTTTGGCTCCGCCCGCGCCGCTGAGGGCTTCACCCCAGCTGGGTCGCGAGAAAAACTCGAATTAAAAGGCGCGCACGGCGCGGCTATAGACAAGACTGGCTCCACCACTCCCGCCTCGCATGCATGGAAATGCCCTTTCCTCAGGTTTCGCCCTTGGGCGGGCGGCGAGGTCGTCGAGGAGGTCGCCCGGGAACTGCGGAATCCTCCGTCTGTGGCGGATCCTTTGGTGGATCCTTGGCCGGGTCCGAGGTATTCGACATCCTTGTCGCCAGCCATTCCATCTCCTTCAAGAAGGCCACGTTGCCGCTCAGCCACAAGCTCGGGCACAATCGGGAGAACGGCCTCAAGCCCTGGCGCCGACGAACAAGAGAACTCCAAGCAGGATCCGGAAGCCCCGTCAGGCCCTACAGCAGGCTTGGGCACGAAACGGCGCTACGCTGGTCCCATGCAAGTTGCATTCCTTTCCATGATGAGGAGAGTCCTTGGCTGGCCATGCAGCCGCCTGCGCACCCATACCCTAGATGCAACTTGGAGCGCGGGAGCTGTAAGCATCTGCGAGCATCTGTGACCTGCGTCTCACCAGGACGCTTCCCACCTCCCGGAAGCTCTTTCTCGACCTGGAAGCTGCAGAGGGCAAGGCTCCTGTAGCAAGCGCGAAGGGTTGAAGACCTGCCCTCCGGAGCCACCCCAATTGAGTCCTGCCTCCTTCGGTGGCACACTGGTCGGTGAACATCAACAGCCTTGCCATCCAAGCTTCCATGTCGGAGTTGGCTGTGTTGCGGGCCTGCTCCCAGCCGTGAGCAGCAAAGGTGCTCACAAGGGCGAGGGTTCTCATCTCGCCCACCGGGCTTCGCTTCTCCACGAAAGTCCTCATCAAACTGGCCGGCGGCGAATGAATGTCCTCTCCGAGCTCCTCGGCGGCCAGGCGGCGAATCTGCTCTGCAACCGCAGTGCTGTCCTTCAGGAGGCGAACATAAGCGTCTCTGGCCGCGGACCCTTTGGCACTCAAGCTGCCTTCGTCTTTGCCCCCGCCGGAACCCAACGCAGCTTCGAGTGGGCTCTTTGGCTTTGAAGCGGTCAGCTTCGCCAGCATCTGAGTCTGCACCAAAAGCAAACGTTGAAGCACCTGGTCGCCCGAGGAAGTCGGGCCATCGTCCTGAGTCACCCCGGCCTCGATCTCGGCCAAGGTGTCGTCGGCCTCCCTTGTGAGCGCGGTCCTCGGGGCCCGCTCGTGCTGGGCCAGTCTGGCTGGGACTGCACCAGCAGCCTCGCGCAAAAGACGAAGATCGCCCTTTGACAAAGTACCGGGCTGCTTTGGTGGAAAGAGCTCTCGAGCCCCACGTCGCGGTTGAGCAGCTGAAGGTGCCGGACCGAGTGCCCCGATGCCACTGCCCGGTGGGGGGGGGCTGTGCGAGCTGCCAGCTCCAGGGCCTGAAGCCGAGCGCGTAGTCGGGAGAGCTCGCCCGGGTCGTTTGCATCCTCCTCGTCGCCCTCCTCTGCAGCAAGCCCCTCGGGAAGGGGGACTCCATCGATATCCTCGGCAGCCGTCACATATTCTCCGAGGCCAGACTCGAGGAACTCGGGGTCCTCGGTGGCGGTTGCAATCCAAAGGTCGGCAGCAGTCTGTGCAGCCTCGTAGTTCGGCCTCACCACAGTGGTCCCCGCCTTCATGGAGAGGAGTTCGACCGTCGAGCCCCTCATGGAAGAGCCCGACCGAAGGTTTCGCAGCCAAGCCCAGGGAACATCCACGAAGTACAAAGTGATCTCGCCCACGGGCCGTCGACGAGGAGTCTCGCAGCCAACCTGAGTGGGCGTGTAGAGCAGCGGGGCCTGGCTCCGTGTCTCAGAGGCCTGCCAGGACTGAAGCCACCCGATCGGTTCCAGGCAAAGCCAGCATCAAGCCACCAGCCCGCACCCGAAGAAGAAAAGCTGTGATCCTCACCGTCGCGGCGCATCCCGCCGCCTCTCAAATTTCCTGAGGCCATGCCCGGCCTGCACCGTGAACAAAAGCCTGGGCTTCAGCACGGGAAGGAAAGGCGTGGCAGACCGCCGAGCGCTCCAACCGCCCAGCAGAATCCTTCGGGACCAGAGACAAGAAGGTGCGGTAGCTCTCGCAGACGAAGCCGTAGGGCTTGGCAACACAGCGAAGCACCACGTAGATCCGGTTCTTCACAGGGAGCCCCAAGGAGCTCGATTGATAGTCTTGCTTGCCAGCTAGAACAGCAGCTGCAGAGAGGCCTGCACGATAAGTTCGGGCAATCCTAGCTAGGGCCGTCCAGCCGGGAACTGCAGCAATATTCCTCGTGAAGCTCTCGTGGGGGCCCAAGTCCAAAACCTCCAAAGCAGCTACACTGTCAGCCTCGATGAAGTCCTCGGCCGGTGAAGGTCCTTCGGGCCTTCGGGAGGAGCCTACCTCCCCAGCAAGTGGTCCAGTTGAAGCCTGGGCACTTGTAGTCGGCTCAGCCTCCACCAGCTCAAAAGACTCAGCCGGGGAAGGGTCACGTTCAGCAGGGGGAGTCCTTTCAATAGAAATCCTCAAATCACGAAGCTGCAAAACCAAACGCTCAACAGCACCGTGCTCAGAGCTCATTCACGAAGTCGGTACTCGCCCAAGCGTCGGCTCAAATGAGCCCGTAGGTCCTGACCACCCTGAGCAAAATCCAGCCAGGCTACCAGAAACCGCAGCAATGAGACCACGGCCCGGCGCAAAGCCGAAGATAAAGCCAGAGCAGCCACACAGGCCCCGCAGAAGCAGCCAGCAGCACAGCAAGCCAGCCCCAGCAGTATCGCTGCCCACAAGGGGAAGCTATGGCACGTGGGCGCCCAGATCCTAACTTCGCGCAAGATCTCGGGCAGGGCAGCCCACATTGAGAAGAAAAGGCATCTTGTGCCGGTCGCTTTCATTCGGCTACCGTGTGATATTAGCCAAACCACAAAACTCTAAACATTAAAAGCCACTAAACCTGAAACCCGAAAACCTAAAGACCTGTAGCCAGAACGGCCCGAGGCCTTACCCGGAAGTCACCGTGGGGAGCTGGGATCATCAAGATAGACTGCTTGACCTTCTAAGACCCGCGAACCCTAGAAAACCTCATGAAGTCCGTGACAGTGACACCTTGAAAACCCCTGTACACCTCTGAATCATGGTGATGGTTAGAATAAGGAGTGAAGAAAGTACTATTGGTCATTGTTGATACTTCTATCTTCTATGGCCCCAAAGCCCGGCCCATCTCTGAATCATGTAAGCACAGCAGCCCGCTCTGGGTCTTGAAGGTGATCAAAAGGCCCAAAGCAAACGAGGGCAAAGTGACGCTCACCTTGGAAGGCGTGCTGTAGGCGAGGGAGACAAAGGTTAGGGTGTTAGCGTGTAGAACCTGTCCTTCTTGTTCAGGGGTTTAAGGCCGCATTCCGAAGCGAGAGAAACGTTGCCTTAGAGCATCCGCCTCAGGTGCAGCAGACATTCTGTGCATCCAGGGCCATCTTACGATTTGAGCTTTAGTGCTTCTTCTGAGAAAACTTTCGTGCCTGTAGTGTCTAGAGTTTTGGGTCAGGGCCACGGACACAGGTTACAGCATCAGAAAACAAAGGGCAAAAGCAGTCACAAGCCGGCAGCTACTTTGTAAACAAACCTCGAGGGCACTGAAGCGCTTCACTCTAAACCCGGACCTCTAAAGTCTAAACCCAGCAGATCCCATAAAAGTCTGACCCTCAAGCCCAAATCCCTATGTTCCGTCTCCTACCCTAAACCCTAAACCCTAAACCCCTAAACCCTAAACCCCTAAACCCCAAACCCTAAAGTCCTAAACTGCCGAGAGCGCCGCTGACCATTTGCATGGGCGCTCGAGGCCCCCGGCCGAGCGTCCCGTCAGAACGGTCCTCCGGGTATACAAGGACTGTAGTGACCCAGCCCCGCTA